GCCTGTGATTTGCAAGAGGAAACTTTATTAGGAGATTGGCAAGGGGATCCCGGGAACTACAAGAAGGTTGAGAGAGAGCCACGAGGCACACTGCCTGTGATTCTTTCAGAGCGCCCGCTTGGCAGGCCGTGGGGACACAGAGGACCAGGGGGCCCTAGGCTCAGAGCAAGGCCATGACCCTGGGCCTTTGTTCTCCTTTCAGGAAGGAGATCTGTGGCAATGTCTTAGGGCAGTGCCCCAGTGGCCGATGGTTGTCAGAGAAGCGGGGCGAGTCTCCTCGATGACTCTTTCGTCTGACACGGTCCTCCTGCTGACCCCAGGGCATCTAGCACCCAAAGCAGGAGCGGGTGCAGGGGTTGGTGACGCAGGGCCCAATGGGCTTGTCACAGGCGTTGGTGGTCGCGCAGGGGTTGCAGGGCAGTCTGGAGACAGAATGATCAGAGCATCAGGACAGGGCAGAGAACTCATCCAAGGACACACAGAGCTCTTAGAACCCAGTCTCTGAACTCTTAGGAAGCCCAGGCTTGCTCGAGCCACTCTACAAAACTCCAACACCGTGTGGGAGAAAAGAGGCCCCGTGGTAGAATCCCGGCCCTCACTTTTCCACCCGGGAAATGAGGGGCAGTCCCTTCCTCCCTCTGAGCCTCAGCCTCTTCAACTCTGAAAGGGGATGGATGATATCTAACCCAAAAAACTTTTGGAGAGAATTTCACAAGGTGATCATGATTAAAAATGCCGTGTAAACTGCCAAGTGCTATGCCCTTGGTGTGTTGTGTCATCTGCCCTTTTGATCTCGAATGGATCCACCCATCAGGTCCCCCTCTGCCAACTCCAATGGTTCCAGCAAGAACCAGTGCAACGGGTGACCCCAGAGTCTTATTTCCATCAGAAAGGCGCTAGTTAAACATGAAGAATAATCATGTCGGGGTTGTTTTCTCTTTTTCTATAACAAGCCAAACATGACCTACCCCTGAGTATCTCCAGGACTCTGCGCCAAGTAAGGGTCATTTGGGGCGGGTTTCTGTGGCCCTGGGCATGTTAATGATAAATAACTTAGAGCGCTCAGTGCTGCAATATAAAGTCCTGGTCTCTGCAAGCATTTGGGCATCTGAAACTGGGTCTGGAAGTCCCCCTCTCTGTCTCTATTAGACCTGTATAATAGAGGGGGGGCTATTTGGCAGACACTCACTTGCAGTCCTCGCTCTCCAGCAGGCCGCGGTACGTGTTGATCTCGCACTCCAGCCGGGCCCGCACGTCCAGCAGCACCTGGTACTCCTGGTTCTGACGCTCCAGGTCGGCCCGGATCTCGGCCAGCTGGTCTTCAACATTCGTGATCAGGCACTGCACCTGGGACAGCTGGGCGCTGTAGCGGGCCTCTGTCTCCGTCAGTGTGTTCTCCAGAGAGTTTCTCTGGGATGGGGAAGGAAGAAAATATCAGAGACAGTCTCCTTGGAAGGGGTTCCCTATACTGTCCCAAGGAAGCCATA